TATTATTGTCTCAGAGATAGAAGTTACATTATACTAGGAGGTCTGGGTGGATTTGGGTTAGAGTTAGCCGACTGGCTTATACTTCGTGGTGCCAGAAATGTTATTTTAATTTCACGAACTGGAATAAAAAACGGTTACCAGCGCATGAAAATTCGGCTGTGGAAATCATATGGTGTAAAAGTTTTGATCACCAAAAATATCGATATTTCTGACACCAAAGACTGCGAATGTCTCTTGCGAAATGTGGAAAAAGAAGCACCGGTGGATGCAATATTCAATCTCGGATTGGTACTGAAGGACAACTTATTGAAGAATCAAACCGCAGAGACTTTCGCGGAACCCTTCTTGTCAAAGGCTCGAGCAACTCAAACATTGGACAAACTTTCTAGAAAAATCTGTCTTAATTTACGTCATTTCATAGTGTTCTCTTCCGTTTTCTGCGGCAGAGGAAACGCTGGGCAGACTAATTATGGCATGGCCAACTCCATCATGGAGAGAATTTGCGAAAAGAGGGTGAAGGAAGGATTACCTGGATTAGCGATTCAATGGGGGGCTGTAAATGAAGTGGGTTTTGTCGCTGATATGCAGGAGAACAATAAAGAATTAATCATTGGTGGCACTCTACAACAAAAGATTTCCTGTTGTCTTGACGAACTCGATAAGTTTTTACTTCAAAGCCGACCAATTGTGAGCAGCATGGTTGTAGCTGAAAAGAAAACAAGATCTTCTGGATTTAGCAATTTGATAGAAACTGTCGCTAATATTTTAGGTAGATGTCTAGATTCCTATGCATATATTTTTTATAAAACCAATTTATGAATGATGGGACAGTACAAAATAATCAATAATAATCAATAATAATCTATTTTATACTACAGACATAAGTGACATAAAAGTTGTAAGTCCAAATTCATCTTTGGCCGAACTTGGAATGGACTCTATGATGGCCGTGGAAATCAAACAAACTCTGGAACGAGAATTTAATATTCTTTTCACAATACAAGAGATACGAAATCTTACTTTTGTAAAACTCATTGAAACATCCACAAAAATCAGTGATAATAATATGTATAATAGAAAAGAACTCGACACAGAGAAGCCACAATGGTTAGCACATATAGTTCTTGCTGTAAAGGATGAAGACTTTATTTCACAAACTTATTCCACTCTCTCGACTAAAGGACAGGGAACTACAACTGAAGTATTTTTTATACCAGGTGTTGACGGATGTGGAACTACATTTAATCATTTAGCACCAAATATTTTATTTTCAGCAACATCCTTTCATTATAACACAAGCAATATTAATCCTACTACAAACATTATATCAGAGAAAACTGATCATCTCATAAAGGTACCAGTGAATTGTATCAGTAATTTGTGTTATATTGACGCGAATATATTGTTCTTATTTGTTCATAAAGTTCACATTGAAAACTT